AATGAGCAGGGAACGGATTTTTAGGACCTAAAGACCTATAAAAAAGGTAAAATCAAAAAACGAAATAGGCTAGAAAAGGCAAAATAAAAGAGCTAAATAGGCACTAGAAATAGCAAAAAGGCACTAAAAAAAGACCAAAACCGAAAAATAATAAAAAAATGTATTTATTTTAGAAATGTTTATTTTACAAGTAAAAAGAGAAAAACTACGAACTAGTCATTATATGAAATATTTCTACTTTCAATCGTTGACTATTTTCTCCTTTCGAGCTTTTAACTGACAAAACTGTAATCTTTATAGTTTAGTTGAACCACAAGATGCAATCTAAAGTTTTCAGGCAGCATTTTCATTCGATTTTCGCGAAGAAAAGCCTTCAATGTACTAAACGTGCGCTCGACGTGATTCGATACAAGTGACGCCCAATTTAAATATGGAACGCTAACAACCTTCATATTATCAGGAATAAGGGCTTTTTATTTGCCCTTTACAAGTAAAGGCCAGTATGCAGCTCTCAGGAAAACTCACAAGAAAATAATTGTCATTAATTCGAGTGTGTGTTCATGGAATTTTGACATCTGATACTTCACATCCTGTTGAATCCCTTTTTCCTCGAGAAATTATGGAACTGAGAGAACTCTTCAACAACCCGACATACCCGAGCAGTGGAACCACATTTCCCGATCATAAAGTACCGCCGCCGAAGAAGTAGTTGGATTTCAGCGAGCCCGAAGGAACAACTGGTACGATGAGGAATGTCAAGTAGCCGCAGAGAAAAAAGACGCCGCCTATAGGGCCACGCTGCGATCGGGCGGAACGCGAGCCATGTGGGACCGTTATAGGGAACTGAAGAAGAAGAGAGAGGCCGAAATACGTGAGTGTGAAGAGCTTGAGATGCTGGCCGACAGGAAGAACGCCCAAAAATTCTACCAGAGGGTTAGGCGACTTACGGAAGGTTTCAAGACCGGGGCGAACTCCTGTAAGAACAACAATGGCGACCTAATGACGGATGTCCAGAATATACTTAAATTTGGAGGGAACACTTTTACAACCTACTGAATGGTGCAGCGCTGAAAGTAGTGAAGAAGACGAACCCGAGACCCCAGTCGTTGATGATGGTGTAGCTATCCCACCGCCTGACTATGACAAGGTACGAATAGCGATTACGCGGCTGAAAAACAACAAAGCTGCTGGAGCTGACGGCCTGCCAGCCGAGCTATTCAAGTACGGCGGGGAGGAGCTGATCAGCTCGTATGGAGAATATGGTCAGACGAACGCATGTCCGACGACTGGAATTTAAGTGTGCTCTGCCCAATCCACAAGAAAGGCGACCCCACCATTCGCGCCAACTACCGCGGGATCAGCCTTCTAAGCATAGGTTACAAGGTCTTATCGAGCGTATTGTGTGAAAGACTGAAGCCCACCGTCAATGAACTGATTGGGACTTATCAGTGTGGCTTTAGACCTGGAAAATCCACCATAGACCAGGTATTCACAATACGCCAAATCTTGGAAAAAACCCGCGAGAAAAGGATCGACACTCACCACCTATTTGTCGACTTTAAAGCCGCTTTCGACAGCACGAAGAGAAGTTGCCTTTATGCCGCGATATCTGAATTTGGTATCCCCGCGAAACTAATACGGCTGTGTGAAATGACGTTGAGCAATATCACCAGCTCCGTCAGAATAGGCAAGGACCTCTCCGAGCCGTTTGAGGTTTCAGACAAGGGGACTCCCTGTCGTGTGATTTCGTTAATCTGATGTCGGAGAAGATAATAAGAGCCGCAAAACTGAACCGCTCAGGCACAATGCTTTACAAGAGCGTACAACTGCTGGCGTATGCCGACGACATCGATATTAACGGTAAAAACAAGGGCTACGTCTGTTCTGCCTTCTCGGGATTGGATAGAGAGGCAAAGCGAATGGGTCTGGTGGTGAACGAGGACAAAACGAAGTATAAAATAACTTTTACAGCCAATTTCACGAAATCAATTTAAGTGAAAAATGATTTTTATTTTGGAAATTTTATATGGAAATTGACAGAAAATAAAAAATCATTTTCCATTTAAATTGCTGGTGAAACCGGCTGATATCAATTTTCTTAGCGTTAAATTCGAAGTTAAATACGCTTTTCTGATTTACTTTGTGTATTTATGGGGTTTTCATGCAAATTGCTAGAAATTCTAAAATAAACATGTACCAATAACAAAAATTCGACGTGCTAGAAAAAACCAAAGATGCATTTTAATTCCGTAGGCCTCTGTTATATTCGCAGTGTCATCCAGTACGGGGTTTAAATCTAGTGGCGTCATCTTCCTAATCGCCAGGGAATACCGGATCATACAGTGACTTCTCGTGGAGTTTTCTGCCTCTTGCTTCATCTTAGACATCGCTCCTTTCGTTTTTCAAACCACTGCAAATATCCGCACACCTGCTTCATTTCAAACCATTTTTCTGTACAAATTTGTCGATAGCTTTAAAAATTTCGTCGCTAGTGGTGTAAGTGTCAAGTACTCATCAAAAGTTCTTCCTCGATTTGCATTGAATGGGTATCTCACTAACACGAGAAGAACATTAAGTCCCGCTACGTCGGTACTTTCGTCACGTTGCAAACTAAAAAATTCACAAGTTTTCAAACTCTTAATAAGTTCGTTCTCGACTGCCTTTAAAATCGTGTTGATTCGGTCTTTCACAGTGTGATTGTGAAGTTCCAATGAATAAGTAACATAAACACGTACGCAGAGCTGCTGCGCTTGTTACGAGAACAGCCCAGCCAGCAAAAAATCTGAAAATGAATCCAAAAACGAGAAGAAAAGTGGATGAAACGCGGATTAGGTCTACAAAAGTGCCTAAAATGGTTAGAAAGGGAACGTTTTCGGCTATTTTTCTGAAAATTTTTTGATTAAATTTTTCATTGACAAAATGTACTGGGGAACTACGGTTAAGAGCGAAATACACCACACCAGCGGCTTGACAAACCAAGCGAAATATCCCTTTTCGGCAAGCCATTTGTTTTGTATATGGGGTTTGACGAGCCGCTGAAGGTAATTTTAATAAAAATAAAACTTTTTGATTTTCTGATCGCCATGTTGAAGTTTGATCAAACCGCTTGCGTTGTGTATGGAAAGTTTACAGATTTGCCCGCACCACTAGTATACTCTAGCCACTAGCGGCACCCACTTTGGCAAAGCCTAAACAGACTAATATTGAACAGTCAATGTATACGAGCATAGCTTTTAATTTAATGATCCACTTATGTATTTTTTAATTGAATGAGGTTTAAACTGATTTAACTTACCAATCCTCATATTTTGATTGTATGAGCAAAATGCATTTCCACATATGTGACGATAATGTGTGATCACTCTCATCTATTCCGTTAAAAGAAATCTGAATAATATTCCTTTTCCACTCCATGAGTATATCGTCGTCGGCTGAATTTTGTAGAAGGTTGTAAATGATTTTAAAAAACGTAATCCTGTTGAATGAAAATTGTTTATACAGTCATCATTTGTAGTACAACATTGTATAAATTCCAATAAGTATACAGGGTGTCCCAGAACTCAACGTCAAGCCGAAACGGGGTGACAGGATTGATTGTAACCATCATGAGAAAAATCAGAAAAAAATCTATCCCATGCAGTTTGGAAATTATGGGCGTTTAAGAAAAACCTAGAAATTTGGTCAAACTGTAACCATTTTTCGGTTATTGTGGTTAATTTTGATTATTTTTGTTCATTTAAACTTTGGAACCTTAACCCTAAATAACATTTCTAGAACCTAAGTCAAAAATAATGACACAATTGCCCCATGTTTTCTAGAATTAAGACTATTTTTTAAACTATTATTACGCAGTGCAAGTAAAAGATTTCCTTGACCAGGAATATCCGGGAAGGTGGACGTTCAGGCACTATTTCGTAGCCAGCCCGTTCCCCAGATTTAAATCCCCTGGATTTTTTTATTGGGGCGTTCTCAAAGAAAAAGTTTATTCAAAGCCTATTGAGAGCGTAGCCGAGCTGCGTGAACGAATTTCTCAAGCTGCTGAGGACATCCACTCTCGAGGATATGCCCGGCTAATAAGTAGATCTTTTTTAAGAAGATGTAGGGCGTGTATTGAGGCTGATGGTAAACAATTTGAACATTTATTGTAATAAAAAATGTTATTTCCCTATCTGACTTTTATTCCAATAAACCAAAACTAAACTAGGTCAATATACACGGTGAGCTTCAACAAATTATTATCAAAATTCAAAACAACCACGAAATTCTTTCAAAATGGTATTCTAGGACAAAATAGAAGATATTCCGAACCACAATTAAAATCATCCATCGAGCCCTTTTTGAGTAATTTGGATCTTTCTTAAAAATTGCGTTATTTATGGATAAAAAAGTTATCATGCAAAAAAACTATCATAAAAATACATACAGAGGTAAGTATATAAGTATGTACAAATGTATATGTATCATATCGCTACCTTAAGGCGAAAAGGTGACAAGTCCACTTTTTCTCAAAATTTGGTTTTTGATGCAGAATGACAGATAATGCGAAACTGCATCGATTTTTCGTTTCTTCTGAACAATTTAAAAAAATGGTACTACATAAGATATCCCAACCAATAATGCATTGCCCGAGCGAAACAATGATGCTACATTCTACTATGTATTTGTAAAGCAATTATTTAGTGAATAAGTTCTTAACTGAAACTCAGTAAGCTACGAAACGCGAAATGTACATATGTTAATAGTATGCTATGAAAGAAAAATCAAAATAATCGGGAATTTATTGTTTAATTAATATTTATTGTGAATTAATATATCATATAGTATTTGCGAAATGCCGAAAAACACATTAACTCACGAAGATAATCGCAGAAGATTGTGCGTGCTGTGTTTTAAAGTAAACAATGTTAGTGATATTAATAACAGAAATAAAATGAAGAATATAACTCCGAACGGGGAAAGCGAAAAGCTTTTAAAAATGTACTTATGCCATTACGATTCCACACGAAAAGAATTACCTACAGGCATTTGTAGTGCGTGCTTAAAGAAACTTTATGGTTCTTCAAAAAACGAAAATCCTCAAGGAATAAAAGTGCCAGATTTAAACCAATTCAAGGCTATAAGTACAAACACGCGCTCGTTCGTCTCTAGTAAATGTATGTGCGCACTTTGCAAAATAACTAGGGAAAATAACCTTATGAATTATCCAAAATCCATCAAAGGTAAACAAATTAGTTTTTAAATATCGTTTCAATAATATTTCCTTTTTGTAAAGTACAGTAAATTTAAATTTTCTTATAAACAAAAATGTTATTACCAGATATATTTTTTTCTATCTGATTTAATAGGAGTTTCGTCTCTACCAACGCTAAAGAAGAAACCTTATAAGAGATGCACTGATTGTTTATCAATTATTGCCAAAGGTCATTCGCATAACTGTTGTTCCAGCCAACGTGTGTTTAATCTGCATACGATTATTGATGAATCGAATCCTACAACCAAAGAGCATATCGTTTCATATTCTCTGGCCACTGATTTGACGACAAAGGAAAACTACCATAATAATACAATTATGCTTTCAAATGTAAAAGGCAAACCTACCAATGTAACTACTGTTAAGCAGAATAGGCACAATGTTGTACATCTAACTGCAGACAATATGAAAAACCTTCAATCGAATTTCAATTTAAGTCAAAGGACAACATTAGGTATTGTGAGCGTTTTTCGTAAAGCTGCGGGCAGCAAGAGAGTAGTGGAGAAAAATTTTAAAAGAAAACTGTATGAAAATAATCATTCTGTTGATAATTTTTTTGAAATCATATATTTTAATTTTGAAAATGGCAAAAAAAGACATGTCCGTAACTCGTCAGGGTGCAATATGCTGCAACTATATTAGTGGTTTACTTCAGTTCGCTCAAGAAAAGCGTGGGTTATCAATGGTTAATTATAAATTTGGGATAGACGGTGGCGCAGGATTTTTAAAACTTTGTGTATGTATTCATTCTCCACATCAACTGAATTCCCCCGATAACTTTTCGCATAGACGTACTTTTGCGGAAGGTATAATTACAAAGAAATTTTGTGACAGTGGAGTAAAAAAGCTTTTTATTATTGGAACCTCCCCTGAGCAGTATCAATATAATTGATGTAGATGGTACTTTCGCTGTCGATTTAAAAGTTGCAAATTTATTATGTGGAATTGAACCTCATAGCAGTATGTATCCTTGCACCTGGTGTTTTGCGCATAAAAATAGTCTAAATAATCGCGAAGTTCTAAGAACAATAGAGAATATTGTAATAAATGGAAAGAAGCAGGGGGATGTGATAAAGCGGCCAAAGATTTTAAGAGCTGTATAAATTTGCCATTAATAAAGGGTTGCGATACAGAATCAAATACTTTAATAATAGATATTATAGTTCCACCTGAGCTCCATCTAATGCTTGGAGTAGTGAATACTATTTTTAATGATATGTTAAAAAAGTTTGAAAAAATTGCATTAATATGGGCTGAGAAGTGCTGTGTTCAGCGAAAGATTTTTCGGGGCTGCTCAGGATTTGATGGGAATTGTTGTAAGAAATTATTACAAAATACAGATATACTAAGAAGTGTGTGTCCATTGGAGTGCTTGAAATATGCAAAAGCTTTTAAAGAATTTCATGCAGTGGTTGAAGCATGTTTCACTAATGATTTGAAAGATAATTACATCTACTGTATTCTAGCTTCAAAAAAAGCTACGAAGATCTTTCCATACCTATCACTCCAAAAGTTCACGCAGTCTTTTTTCATATTGAAGATTTTTGTTCGAGGCAAGGAGTAGGTTTAGGCTACTATTCAGAGCAAGCCATGGAAGCAGTACATTATGATTTTAAAAAAACATGGGATAATAAATACACAATTAAACCAAATAACCCAAATTACATGGAACATTTGCGAAAGGCAGTTTGTGATTATAATAGTCTTCACATTTAGAAACTTGTAATAAGGCATTTCTATTATAAATTATAATATGATAAACAATAAACTAATATATATAATTATAAAAAATTTAAATTCATAGTCTAACAAATAGTCTTGATTCTAGAAAACTTGGGGCAATTGTATCATTATTTTTGACTAAGGTTGTAGAAATGTTATTTAGGGTTAAGGTTCCAAAGTTTAAATGAACAAAAATAATCAAAATTAACCACAATAACCGAAAAGTGGTTACAGTTTGACCAAATTTCTAGGATTTCTTAAATGCCCATAATTTTCAAACTGCATGGGATAGATTTTTTTCTGATTTTTCTCATGATCGTTACAATCAATCCTGTCACCCCGTTTCGGCTTGACGTTGAGTTCTGGGACACCCTGTAAAGTAAACAGTTATAAATTAATTATGCAAGTAAGTCCGAACCGTTGTTAAACGTGTTTTCGTATATTATGATATTTTCTCTTTAATATTAGCTATACATGAAAAAATGTACGATTTCGCTCATAACACCATAGGGCTGATCAGGATCTTGTGCATAGCATATTCGTTGCATTTGTAAATTCACAACAATAAAATGCACACGGTTGCCCTGGCAGCAAGCATAACATTTGCAAAAGCAATTCGAACTGAAAATCCAAAGACCATTTCCACAACATCCTGACCAGCCCTAATGTAATTCTTAGTACTTATAGTAATTGAGACAAAAAATGCATGCACACCTCAATTTCCCTTGCCACTGGTTTTCCGGCTTAAGATGTATGTAAAGCAGAGGCGGGCATTTTTAGATTTTTCAAACACATGTAATTGGGCTTCAAAATGCTACTTGCTGCGACGTCGACACATGTATACTATCATCGTCTTCGTGCGTCTTACGATAATTGACGAAATAAGTTGCTGTTGAGTGTTCAGACGCAAAAAGTTTTCTTAGTGGTAAATAAGCATGAAAAATTGTGATACATTCCAAACCAATGTGGTACATTCAAATAAATAAATTTATAATTATGTTATATGCACTTATGGTCAGCTGATTAAGTTAGGTGAAATTTTGACCAGTTTTGGCTATTTATATTTTTTATTTATTTAATGTTTATCCTTTTTTGCTGACGGTGCTAGGCATTTTCTTCCATATAAAAGAAATTGCCAATCATTAAAAATCAACGCGATTTCTTAGCGCTTGAAATTTGCACTTTGAGCTACTAAATTTTAATGGGCTATAAAACTGCATAACTAAAACTTTTCTAGAAATTCTAAATAAAAAGCCAAAGCGACAGAATAAGATGCTTTTTTTAGAAATGATCTATCATTTTCTGATAGAGAATCATTTTCTGATAGACATTGATAACTTTCGTGTTGATGTATATTACTTTCACCAACCATAAATTTAATAAAGAACGCGATTTTAATTCTAAAAGCTTTATTGCTCGATCACCCTCTTTCACCTTTTCAAAATGACTATGACACAGGTTGTAATGTCTTTTTAAACAAGACATAACATTGCGACTCATAA